ATATATACTATATATATACTATATATATATATATACACACACACACACATATATATATATATATATATACATACATATATATATATATATATATATATTTATATATTATTATATTATTATATTATTATAATATTATATTATATTATTATAATATTATTTTATATTTCTATATTTATTATCTTTTATGTAAATGCGCGTGTTCTTGCCTCGTTGTGGGCGTGTGTCTCTAGGTTTTTAGTTTGTGTGTACATGTGCGACGATCTGCTGTGGTATGTCAACCTATATCTTGAATTTAATTCGCAGCCATATCAACCTTTTAAATCGCACAGGCAACCGCTGATACCAGCGCCAACTCGAATACCGACTCCAGTAGCCAAGACAACGGAGTTGGCGTTGCGGGAGTAGTGTCGATTTGCCTTGCTCTGCTCCTAGTAGTACTCCTGGTGGGGTCAGGTATATATTTCTACAGGAGCAGAAAGGCGCGCTCGATCAAGCAGGAGGTTATGGATTTTTCACGCTCGCCCTCTATGCAAAGCAACGCCGACTCGAGACATGGTATGCATAGGCCTGTGCCATACAGCGTGTGTAGTCCACACCCTGGGTGTGCACATTCTTTATATGTGCTCGTGACTAGTGTCTTTGCTTGTGCTTTGCTGGTGCGGAGTGCTTTCAATATGTTATATGCGTGGGGTGTGGTCTGGCTGAAGCAAGAGCGCTACGTATGTCTTGTGTTATGTCAGCAACCGGATTGCAAAATATAAATGTTTCCCAACTTTGAGATGTGTGTCGACCATTCGAGATGACCTCGAGTGTGGATACTCTTCAGTAATGCTATGAATATTCCTTTTTTATATATAATATATACACACACTTAGGGGTATACGCGCAAGTACAGCACACAAACAAACATACCCTTACATAGATACTTCACACATATGCACGTACTCTGAAACACACGCGTGTATAAATAGTACCAAACGCACATCATCTCTTCATACCACCCAAACATACTGCACATTCGCATACCTCTTCGTTCAGATACAGATACATACTCCATTCTGCTTGTTCATATTCCGGACTTGGTCCGTTTCCCCACACAAACCCACTGCAGTATCACACACACACTTGTCTACATTCATGTACAGCCTTCGGAGATACGGACGAGATGAGTACGAGCAACGTCACAAGCGCCATCACGATGGTGGATAAGGCGGGCGACATGTGTGACGAGAGGATGAAAGTATAATTTTCCGGGGAAACATAGACCCTGAACGGGTTCTATACAGACTACCCAGCCGGTTCTACATGCTATGCGTATGCACTGCGTTAGTATTATTGTAGGCTATCTTAATTTGTAGGTTACCCTCACCGGAGATATGTGAACGATGGTACACTTTATTAGCGCGTTGGAGCCTACTATGTGATAACGGACACTTATTCCTGCGGGTTGATGGGCTTAGGAGTGTCGGGTAGACACATGGCTTACTAGGCATCTCATACATATAACAATATAACGTTTATAGACTGAGAAAAGCAGTCTCGCACTTGCATCAATACAATATCAATAAAATACCGTAAAATGTGTAGTTGATATATAAAGTCTGATATTTACACACAAGTAGTATAGTTTTTCTTGGATTTCAACCCTCGAGAGCGATTAAAAAAACTTTGCGGCGAAGGAGTCGAGTGCGTCTGATGCCAAGGGATGCGCTCGATGTATATCAACTGGGATGTGTTCTGTGCCAAACCTCAAACTGCTTTGTTATACGCATATTGTTTTTAAACTTAGGTTTCTTTTATCATAGCTTTGAAAGCGTTATCTGGAAACCAAGGTCTGTCTCATACACTACTCCTATTGAGGAGTGCATCTTGGCCTGATTCGTAGTTTTGTGCCCAATATTTAAAGTCACGTACTGTGTCTCATTTGCAGTCGAACTCGATCACGGTGTCGATCACATATCCCGTTTTAACTGCAGTCTTTAGCAGTCCTATATAGGTAGTCCCAGTTACTGTTGCTGTACTCTTAATAGTATCGTGTTTAGTCTTTATCTCTGTTTCATGAGTGATTTAATATCAGGAATTGTATATGTTCAGGGTCGTCAAAGCTCTCTGTATATACATATTTGCGGCAATTAAACTATATTAATACGATAGAATTCTCATTGAAGTGCATTTGTTTATATGCCAGTCTACTACATGGTTGTCATTAATTCATTTTACTATTTACAGTCTATATTCATGGTATTATAATTGTATCGCAAGCATCGTGCCGTTCTACCTTGCAGCACATCCATCACATTTATGTCGCCTGATGAGACTCCCTTTTCTTCGTCTGATTATTTGCAAGTCTACTACATGGTTGTCATTAATTCAGAATCCCATTCAGATCCCGAATCCGATGAATCCGATGATATAGACTGGATCGAATCCGCGTCTTCCAATGAGCTCTCTGATACTGGTGTTCGTACCTTCGCCGGAGTATAATGGTGAGCCGAAAGAGTTTCTTTCGGTTTCGAAGCAACGGTTGCAAGCGCCCCGAGCACCTCATCAATAGTGTCGTATTCGCAGCACAACTGCTCCATCTCAGCAGAAGTAAACGTACGAATGACCGTCTTCAATGATCGCGTCACCGAGTCTTGCATATAAGGCAACTGTTCACACTGGAAAAAGTGGGCCAACATCGCGATTGCTTCAGTGGGTTGGATAAACCCTAGGTACACAGTAAGACTAACGCGTCCGGGGCGAATCAGGGCAGGGACCAATTTCTCGGGATGGTTGGTAGTCATGACCACAATACGACCTGGGCAATCTACAATGCCATCCAGCACATTCAGAAGACCAGCTAGGTTCAGATCATCATCGCCAGCCACACCAAACGAGGACCCTTTATTTTGGTTCTTAAAATTTAACAGGTCTTGCGATAGCGCGCCCTGTGCGCCGTCTTTTTTCAATTTTGTGCTTGAGGTTAAATGGGAGTATCCGTTAACGTCTAATCACGGGCAAAGACAACCTTGCTCGCACAATCGATATTTTCCACCACGTAAACGACCTTGTCGAACTTGTGTCGCATCGGCAAGTCGTTGCCCTGAGCTTAATAGCACTGATCAAAGACCACATCCATGAGATCTTGGTTAGTTTGGATCCTAGCCAGGGGAATACTGACAATGTGACGTTCTGTATGTTGCATAGTTTTCTTATATCTTATTGGGGTATTATGGAATCGAGAATTTTCACGAGTGATGTTTGAAATGATCTAGCAACTGGAGCAGTGCAGACTTTTGAGGGAAAAACATTGAGTTGAACGTTTTGTTATTACTCAATGCATAGCGTTTTTAAATCACATTGTTACCATCCCAGGCATCTTCTCCCATGGCGTTTCCCTTGGTCGTAGATCTCATGACGTACATATAGCTTGCTAGGTCTTTCTGCGCTGAAACATAGTCCATATACCACTGGTAAGCGTGCTGTACATACTCATCCACATGTTGCCTGGCAAACTGTCCTTGTGCGGTGATAATGTAGTCGGACGTTGTCCTAGTGTAGTTGGATTCCTTCCCTTCTTGTTCAGATGTTGCATCATTACTGATCGTCAAATACGCAACTGCTGTAGCACCGACCCATCATCCTCGTTACCCCACCCATAGGCCTGCTCTATTTTTGGAGCATTGTAGACCAAACGGAAATGGCCCCCAGAGAAGCTTAAGTCACAATCATGAGTGATATACTCCAGTATAGCCTTGTGCAGAATATGATTATTTTGGTCCCCTTCGTAGACTCGGCCGTATTTGTTTTCTGCCGTCGTATGGATGATATGTCGCGTATAGTATGCATCATCGCACTCCCATAAACTCTCCCATAAGCGCGAACAGATTGGGTTGAGGTCTTTGATACATGCCGCCAATGCGGAGAATACAATTGGCACAATCAGGTAGAAAGCAAAATCCAGAATGTGTTGCCGGTGTGAAGCGCATTCATGATGCCAATCTGCGCAGGGCCCAGTAAACTCTCAGCTTGCAACATCTTCTTGACCTTGTTTGTCGTAATTGTATATATATATTTAGTCAACGGGGCTTCCGGGCAGTATATATAGCATTTTCAAAGGAGGGGGTTTTTTTTGGTTTACATAAAAAAAACAAAACAATGTCCAAATATTTGTACAAATCGGTATTCGGCAGGCCCTACCGGCCACCGGCCACCGCACCAGTGACCTCACACCAGGCGTCCAGCCCCCGGAGCCCAGGCGGAGAAATTTCGAACACTTTTTGTATGCATCATCTGTTTTGGTCAGTTTGGAGTTTTCAGTTTTGAGTTTAAGTTTTGATGAGTTTTGCTTACATATATACTGCCTATTGCCTATGTATGTATTTATTTTAGGTTGTTTTTTGTTTTGTTTAACAAAAAGCAAAATCGTAACACCTCCAGTCCTCAGCTTTATTTACTCTAAATATATAACTGTTCAGTGACGTCTGACAGACGACAGTATTCAATTGTTCACCTGTGAAATGTGAATTGGTCAGGTGCACCTGATCTTAGATCTCAGTTGATGTTCACTTGTTCAGTGACATTGTTGACAAAAAAAAAACAGTGTTCACTGTCCCCTGTTTCTTTTTTAAATATATGTTTTTTTGTTTGTTTGATTTGATGATTTCAGAAGGCTATGATTTTCTTTGTTTATACATTTGGTGTTTTTTAAAAACAAATATGATATTTTATCTATTAATTTATAAGGACGTCGGACGAGGAAGTCTATTATTTTGTTTTGTTTTAAAAAATATTAGAATATGAATATTTACATTATGTATTTGTTTTTGTAAAAAAACAAAATGCAACAATAATGGGTGTATTTATATATTTTAAAAAATACAGGGCTACACTGCTGCAGGCGCTATTTACTTTTTTTATACATATTTATAAAATTAAAAGTTGAGTTCTCTCACAAACGTATTTGGTTTTAAGAAAACAAAACAAATAGAGGTACATCACGTTTCCAGCTAATAAAAGGCGTTTTAACGAATAGGTAACGTTTCAAGCTAATAGAAGGAATAACGGAATGTATGTAAGAGGTTCAAAATTCAAACTTCAAACTTCAATAGGCTAGCCTCCTCGTGAACAATAGATAAAAATGCCGACTTAGTTACACGTTTCCAGCTAATAGGAGGAATGCCGAGATGTATGTTAGAGGTTCAAACTTCAAACTTCGAACTTCAATGAGCTAGCCTCCTCGTAAGCACATTAGATCAAAATACCAACTTAGTTACGGCGTATCAAATTGCATAAATGATGTCACCACGTCTTGCGTTTATCAAACTTGCACTGTCATTGGTGACTAGTGAGTATTGGCTGGTCAATGTGGTCAATGGTCACACCGTCACTCGTCAGTCTGACGACGGACAGTTTGGCGACTGACAGTCTGACGCTCTAACAGTCGTTCATTCCTCTGAACTTCTGAAGAGCGAGGACTGAACTTCGAAGTCTGAACTCAGAATTGACTGATCACTGGCTCACAATCTGTCACACAGTCACATAGAACACATATACTCACTAAGTATATATGTCTCAGTGGTTGTAATTGTATTTAGATTGTGGAATTGGTCACACTCTCACCGAGTTTTTAGAAATCGTAGATTCTAGTTCATTTTTTGGACAAACAACAAAACTGAACAGCTATTTGTCGCTTTATTTATTTATCTTTTTAAAGTGGAATAAAAGGTGATAGGGGTTCTGAAATTCACTATACATCTGTTTGTATCGATTTAAAAATTGTTATGAGTCGAAAGCAAAGGCAGCGAGAAGTTCCTCTCCCTTGCAGTGATGAGTGTGACTACCAGTCGAGTATGGCTTAAGCCTTGAGCCTGTGCCCGCCCTGGGGCCTGGGCCCCTGGGCCTGAGGTATTGAGGTTCCGGTTTTCCAGACTATTCCAGACTCCAGAGAGGGCAAAACCGGAAACACGGCAGAGGGGCAAAAATCGAAAATAAATATCTCCGTCGTGGTATATTTTCTCTCTTTAGAAAGAGCCTAGGTCCCTACTAGGCCCTCTACAGAGAGAGAGACATATTTACTATGTATTTAATAAATAAATATGAGAGTTGAAAAAACTGATGGAGAATTAACCAATAGGAATCGATTGTTCGGCCCAACTCAAAAAAAGCGTTTGTGCGGTCATAAAATGCGTTGCCTTTGTACAAATTTACTTATATAAATACTCTGCAGGGATTGTTCTACCATTTGACATTGGAATGCATATTTGCATAAATGGCTTGGTCGCCCCCAACGTCAGTAAATACTTAGGGTAGCATTGTCATAGCATAACCATAAGTAACGGATTTAACTTGTATGTACGTGGTAGCACACTACTAAACGTCGATTTCACTTAGAAGTGCGTAAGTATGGAAGCGGATTCAGCGATGCGGTTCGTCGATTTACCGTTTGACTTAATTCAGCGCATCTGCCGTCGATTGGGCCCTGTTGATGTCTGTGAATTGTCACTGGTATGTGTACATATCCACACGCATGGGTGTATATACAGATTTATAAGTACACAGTGATTTAAACTTGGATGTCTAGGCTAATCAGTCTTTACCCCTTGTAGTCGATTGCAACTACTTCGTTTACACTCGTGTAAATGAGACGGCTTAAATAATGTCACAATACTGTCCATGTTCTCGATGTTACGTTGTGTATTGAGTTGGTGTCCGTTTGTATGATGTTTGTGCTGTGTATTGGTATATTACTTCGTTATGTGCTAGTATGTGCGCAGCTTGAAATACGATATAAATCATGTGGTTACCCCTTGTAGTCGGTTCTAACTACTTCACCTACACTCTTGTTAATGTCGGCTTAAACAATGTCACTATACTGTCCATTTACTCGATGTTACGTTTGAGTAGTGAGTTGGTGTCAGTTTGTATGATTTTTATACTTTGCATTGGTACATTGCTTTGTTATGTGCTAGTATGTCTGCAGCTTGAAATACGGTATAAACTATGTGGCACTTGGGAGTGTCGTGTATCTAGACGTATATACCTATGTATATTTAAATGTACACACACACACACACAAACACACACACACACACAAACACACACACACACACAAACACACACACACACACACACACACACTTACAATATATATATATATGCTGACATATAGCTTGCGTATTGTCATATATATATAAGGTTTGATTTCTGATTTGTATGTATACGGGTGTCTATTCTAAGTTATGTGCAAGAACATGCTTGTCAGTGTGCATTCGTATACGCTCATATGCACATATAATATAATTTCGTGTGTGCGTGTATATGAATGTACATACCATTGTACATAAGTAGTATAATGGTGTTTCAAATGTGTATACATATGTACTCAATTGTTCGTGCAGCTTTGTAGTGCTCTGTAGGGCTGCGCTTCTCTGCGAGCTATACTATTCTTTAACCTGGTGCGAGCCGAGGAATGCTGTACTAGTCGCAACTGATATATAAAAGCAAACATACCGCCTCATGACTGTATAGATGCTTGTGTCTTAGTATGTAGTCCCTTTGCCTCCTTTAGAAAGTCACGTTCTATGTTTAAGTATTAGCAGTATTAGGGCATTTTCGTTCATGAGTAAGAAGTATCCCACATGCCATCGCCAGACATTCATACTATAGCATACTATAGCCTCGGCTCGACTTTTGTTTCGGACATCATTTCAAATGACTGTAGTGGGATTGCAGACATAGCTTGTGTAGTATGTTATATTGCAAAGAGATGAGTGTATGCATGGACTTCTATTTACGAACTACTTGTTATGTATTTATATCCTGGGTCTCAGAACCTGCCACATACAAGTATGATCACACCTCATTCAACTTTTATTAACCACCGTGTTATATACCTACCTCCAGACTTGCAAAGCATTCCGGTTCGTATCGCAGACGAAGGAGGTCTGGTATGGGATGGCCCGTGCACATCTAATGCAGAACGACAGACGACTCAGCGAAGGTGTGGCCCCTATATCACATAATGGCGGATATGACGGACACTCCCTTTGTATTTGGGATCTCTGTGTGATCTTATTCCCGGACTTTGTATTACCAGAGTACTTATGTATTGTTTACTGTGAATACTGTGAACATATACGCGGACATTCGGGTGACTTCTGAGTCACTATGCATGATGTTGTCGTTTCAATTGGGTGAGTATCTACGCAGACATTCGTTTTGGTTTTTTTGATTAGCTGCACATGCTCCGCCTATTCTACTTAGCATACTTGCAGAGTAGCTACATACAATGACGTGTATCTCCTATTTATACACACACACACACACACACACACACACTGACACAGAACAGACACA